CCCGGACCCCACGGGAGCAACGGGGGGCGGGTGGCACGGGCGGCCGAGGGGTCGGTCGGGCTGCTGGAAGGCGGGCTTGATGATGCGGGCTTGATGATCCGAAAGTTGAGATGCTAAGGAAGAATGACGAGAGACAGACGACCCGACCATGGGGCGTTGCTGAGGCTCCGGCGTGCACATCATAATGTGTGACCCTGGTGTGACCCCAGCATTACCGGTGCCATACCATGTGATGGTCGCTTTATGAAGTACAGCCTTACCCTGAGCCTGCTGCGCACGGTCGAGAGGGTTTGTAACCTGCCTATCGCTTTTTGGGCCCAGATTGGCCGCTGGTTGGCTCATGGGTTGGTCAGCGCTTCGATCGCCAACGGTGCCAGCGAACACGGGACGCCTTAGGTTAAGACGTAGCAGTGTTCATAAATGCGCATTCGTTCAAGCATACGCAAGCGCATTACCGGACCGTTTCCAATCCATCGTGCTCTGATTGCGAGGGCCCGTGAATCACCACCGGGCGGAAGATCGGCAGCACACCATTGATTCAAATCAGCGATCCGTTATTGAGGCTCACGGCGCAGACCTGGCGGCGAAGGGGCAGAGTCCGCTGCGGTTGACGCTTTTGCAAACAGCCGTGTGACGGGGCCGCCCGCAGCAGAGCACGGCCACTGCAACGAGTCGACAGCAATGGGGCAGGCCGCCTCAAGTAGCTGGGGCGGCGCGCAAATACAGGTTGGGAACGAACGGCCCGCAAGGGCCCTCACATTCGCCGTGCGCACACGCGCGTGCGGCAACTGGGTCGCGCCCTCACTCTCTCCAGCCCGCGCGGCAGCGGCGTTGGCCCTCCGCCGCCGGGCGCGCCTCGTCAGCAGCGTGCCCAAGCGGTCTGAGCCTATGCTTGCTTTACCCCCTTGCAGCTGCAACGCGTGCGCACGCCTGCCTGTTCGTCGCACTTGTGCAGACCCTTACAAATATATCCAACTGTGTCGCTTCTCCCTCCCTCTCTGTCTCTCTCTCCCACCCCCCCCCTCCCCCACTCTC